CTAGTTTTCTTATCCCTAATACCTCAAAGGAAAAACAGGGACTTGAGTACCACCACAGAAGCAGAAGCATTACCCATGGTGACAAGGATATTATGTTACTTTTCATGAGTACATTTGGCACAAATATCCTGGGGTACAGAACTATCTGTGCATCAGGCATGAAAATAAATTTAAAAAAAATAAACCAACAAACAAAAACTTTACAGAAATCTTTTTCATATCCACCACTCCCTTAGTAATTGCTTTATAGGAAGTGTAAGACTTTGGAGTTTGTAAGCATCCTAAAAAATTATGTTGAAGACAATTATATTTTCATCCCAGGAACAAACTCTACTCTAGAGTAGATGTGTAACGCCATGTGATGTACTTTTTTATCTCCCTTGCACTTGTTTATTCAAGGAAACCTATGGAGGGCCTGATGTGACATTTCTAGGGACAGTTCCAGTGCCTGCTTATGAGAAAAAGACTCGGGTCACTAGAGCAGCTTCCACTGTGAAGCTGGGGAGTTAACAAAGAGATGGTGCAATTACAGTGACAAGCATCACACCACAAAAGATCTAGAGAAAAAAAAAAACAGTAAGCAACACCAAAAAAGGAATCACCTCTCCCTCTGGTGTGACTAAAGGCAGCAGCTTCTCAAGTCAAAAAACCTCAAGAAAAGAGTGACTGATAAAAGACGAGCTGTCCCAAATATCACAGGGCTGACAGAAAGCCACTCCGCACAGAGACAGACTGTTTCTCATCCGTCTTGACTAACCCAACACTTTGAAGATCTACAAAGACAAAACTGAAGAGAACTAGAATGTACCCTTGGAGGTCTGTGGAGGGGCTCTGTTGAGTACCCCTACTCAACAGAGGCCCCAAAAAAATGCCACAAACCTTAAAAGAATTTGCATCAGGTACCAACAAAATAATTTTGAGATACTTCTTTGAGAGTGAAAATCTCTGAAAAATTGGCTCATGGAAAATACATTATAGAAGCTGTAATATTCTCTCTTTATCAGCTCTCCACAGATACCCACTAAGTATTGAGTAATTAATTTAGGCATCCAAAATATCTGAAAGGGATCAGGAAAAAAAACCAGTTGCAAACAAACCACTGTACACACAGACACACATAGAGTTTAAAACGTTATTCACAACCTTACATGATGTGACAGGCGTCCTGGAAGGATACTATCATTAATACAGACCTTAAATGATAAGATTCCTGCCAATTTCCACAGTATTTTAAACAATCTTTACACAAACAAAACCTACATTTAGTTCAGAACACGAGTAACTGCCACACAGCTTTTACTTAAAAAGAAAATTACAGACAAGAGGCATTCCATTCAGATGTGATCAGTACAGCAAGACGTAGAGTCTCTGGTTTTTAGAAAACTGCCCTGTACAAAATTGTATTAAATTACTATATGTGCAACAGTGAGAGATAAGAAATAGAGAGGAGCGATTTCCACTGGAGCACCAAAGGATGGTGAGGTGTGCAGACGGAAATGATAGGTTTCTCTGGCTTGACTATTATGATTCTAGAGTGCAAAGAGAAGAATAAATGTATTGTCATTTATATAAGCCTTGCAACAGAGTCACAAGACAGAGAACTATTAGCATACACAGCAAATAGCTGTCTACAGAATAGCATTTTCACACTACTACAGAGGTATCTCTTGCCTCTAAATATACTGTAATAATTTGAAACTAATCAAGTCATGATCTTTTGTATGATTTCCAGTAATTACTTTACAATAATAGACTGTTGATAGTAAAGCCGTGCACACAGACAAGTCAGGGGAGGACTTGGGTGGGGGCGGCAGAAGGTGGTGAGTGTTTAATTTCATTGATCATTTGCCAAAATAGGTATCTATTGTTCCAATTTAGGGTGTAGGAGTAGTATGTGTCTTTCAAAGCAAAACCTCTCCTTCTGTATCTACCAAATATTATCATTCAATATTGAGAAATGTAAATTACTCTTTCCTTTCTCAATACTACAATAGAACATCTTGTGCGCAGGGAAACAAACAGATGTTTACATTAAAAAGATACACAGATACACTTTTAAACCTTAACCCGTGTTGAAGAAATCCCCTATGATTTCACGTTCAACTGATCAAGAGAAAGCACGTGAACAGCAGAGTATTAGCTTGGATTTAGTGGGTTTAGGGGCAGGACTATCAATTGAGCAAAACTTCAATTACAGACTAATTTAAAATAATTTTGAGATACTTCTTTGAGAGTGAAAATCTCTGAAAAATTGGCTCATGGAAAATACATTATAGAAGCTGTAATATTCTCTCTTTATCAGCTCTCCACAGATACCCACTAAGTATTGAGTAATTAATTTAGGCATCCAAAATATCTGAAAGGGATCAGGAAAAAAAACCAGTTGCAAACAAACCACTGTACACACAGACACACATAGAGTTTAAAACGTTATTCACAACCTTACATGATGTGACAGGTGTCCTGGAAGGATACTATCATTAATACAGACCTTAAATGATAAGATTCCTGCCAATTTCCACAGTATTTTAAACAATCTTTACACAAACAAAACCTACATTTAGTTCAGAACACGAGTAACTGCCACACAGCTTTTACTTAAAAAGAAAATTACAGACAAGAGGCATTCCATTCAGATGTGATCAGTACAGCAAGACGTAGAGTCTCTGGTTTTTAGAAAACTGCCCTGTACAAAATTGTATTAAATTACTATATGTACAACAGTGAGAGATAAGAAATAGAGAGGAGCGATTTCCACTGGAGCACCAAAGGATGGTGAGGTGTGCAGACGGAAATGATAGGTTTCTCTGGCTTGACTATTATGATTCTAGAGTGCAAAGAGAAGAATAAATGTATTGTCATTTATATAAGCCTTGCAACAGAGTCACAAGACAGAGAACTATTAGCATACACAGCAAATAGCTGTCTACAGAATAGCATTTTCACACTACTACAGAGGTATCTCTTGCCTCTAAATATACTGTAATAATTTGAAACTAATCAAGTCATGATCTTTTGTATGATTTCCAGTAATTACTTTACAATAATAGACTGTTGATAGTAAAGCCGTGCACACAGACAAGTCAGGGGAGGACTTGGGTGGGGGCGGCAGAAGGTGGTGAGTGTTTAATTTCATTGATCATTTGCCAAAATAGGTATCTATTGTTCCAATTTAGGGTGTAGGAGTAGTATGTGTCTTTCAAAGCAAAACCTCTCCTTCTGTATCTACCAAATATTATCATTCAATATTGAGAAATGTAAATTACTCTTTCCTTTCTCAATACTACAATAGAACATCTTGTGCGCAGGGAAACAAACAGATGTTTACATTAAAAAGATACACAGATACACTTTTAAACCTTAACCCGTGTTGAAGAAATCCCCTATGATTTCACGTTCAACTGATCAAGAGAAAGCACGTGAACAGCAGAGTATTAGCTTGGATTTAGTGGGTTTAGGGGCAGGACTATCAATTGAGCAAAACTTCAATTACAGACTAATTTAATGTATACCCAACTACATTATTGCAATTCAATAAACATCTCTTCAGAATTAAACAATTCCAATTTGCTTTCATTTCAGGCTGTGTGCATGCATTACAAATTTGCTATTATCCACACTAAAATTAGTCAGCCTGTTCGGAAGCACTCATCCATGCAATCCCAGCACGTCACAGCGCTGCAAACCAACCTCAAATGAACCACTTAACCTCGCCTGCTTTACTGAACAGGAGCAAGGAGCAGAGCCCTGCACCTTCCCAGAACAACATTACTCTCCTAAAATAAGTTCTAGCCACGGGTCTGTATCCAGCAATGAATCTATCAACATCTCTCCTGATGGAAATCCAACCATTCATGTTTATAACTTAATCATCTATTTTTCCCCCCTTCTTACATCAATGAACAAAGTGTCAGGCACCCACTCAACTTTGCATATTCTGATACCTGGCTGCTCTGGAAGATTGCCTTCCCTCTATTCAGCTACGATACAATACTAGATACGCTGCTCCTGGCAACCCAACTCCACGTTAATCATGAATTAATTCCTCCAGATTTGAACAAGATGCAAGATCACTGAGTGGGAATTAAATGCACTTGGCATCTAATAGGAGCGTTCTCTTTGGGATCTGTGTAGCTTGGATATCTGCACCCCTCAGCACTGCACTTAAGGCATTGCAAAGGCATCAATATACTGACCGTTAAATGACAGAGAGAGTTGGCAGAAAGCACTACAGTTGGCAAAAGCGATCTCATTTCTACAGCAGCTCTCCATTTTCACAGAAAAATGAAACATTTAGATCAATAAAATTACCCTTGGTGAGCAGACACATACACCTCCCATTTGATGTCACCCCTACCCCAAACACAATGTCTCAGGAGCAACGTAGGCACCTTCTGATCTTCCCACCCAACAGGCAGTGAACATCTCGGTGCTGCAGCTCAGGGGAAATTAGGCAAAGCAAAAAAGCACCCCAGTAAATAGCATGCACGTCTCATGGAGGAAAGATTAAGACACATCTTGCATGTGTCAGGCACAGCATCAGCTCTGGAATCACAGTAAATAACAAGCCTAAAATCCCAGCATCCTTCAAGAACTACTGACGTTTTACTGTGTGCTTCAGGACAGCAGCAGAATCAATCCCCTCATTTACTCCCAGAGCCCTGAGCAGACTCCTCTGACGCGCCCCGCTCCATCCCAGGGTTACTGATGCCTGATGAAGTACTGCAGGGGAAGCTGACTGACAGCCAAACTCCTCAGCTCTACATTAAAGTATCCATAGCTACCCTGCATTACTACAAAAGCTTACGAAGAGGGCTGCATCCAGACAAGATTCTGATTCAAATATTTAAGAAAACGATTGAAATTCATGTCACTTCTACCCTTTTCTCCTACTTACATTTATTATGAATGAAAGAAGGAGGGCCAATAGGATGTCAATTTTTATACTCAAGATGCCATCTGGGAGGAAACACTCATCTTGCTGCTTGAGTGCAACCTACCTTTCACTATTAATTCTGCATAATTTGAGACTCCAGATCCACCATCGGAACGAATGACACACCGGTACTTGCTGATGCTGCGCTGAGAGGTGTCGGCCACGCTGACAGTAGCAGAAAACCGTCTGTGGTTGACCACCCGTGTGACCATTAACGCTGTGTCCCTTCCATTCCACTGCTGTAAAGGCAGACAATAATAATGTAAATTAGTAAGACACACAGATTATGCACCCATTCATTCTTTATTACGCTTCTGAACATTGTTCAGACCTTCACAATTTTTCAAGAGAAGACTGCTAACCACAGCCCTGCAAAATTCACAGGGTCGTATGAACTAGGGCTAAACATTCTTACACATAAATATTGAAGTTTTCACTTAAATATTCACTTTTTTGAAACGTATTTGGGCATTTGATGTGTTATATGTATTGAAAAGGCTGGAGAGTGACAGTTCAGGCTATGCAATTGTACAGATATGTATTTAGAGGATATAAAAATACTGCAAATGAATGTGTTTTGTACACCTGGGGAAAAGCTACAATCGAACACATTTTATAAATTTGGCATTTTCTGATGCAAAACTTTGATTTGGGACCAATTTAAACAAATTAATTGGATGAACAGACATCCTTCTATGTCCAACATTCCTCAATAAACCACTCTACTGATGTCAGACTACACTTTTCCAACTGGAAAAGGCAGAGATGAAGAAATACCTAGAAACAGTTGTTCTCCACAGCATAGACACCTGAACTTGCTCAGTTGGTCTAATTTATTAAGAAATTCAAAGGAAAACACACTGCTGCTTTGCCGATTTCCAGTAATCTGTTTTGGGGAGTGTTTCCAAGGCTATTTTCATTAAATGTTTCAATTTTAGAAAATGGAAAACAGGTTTCCACTAGCAACAGTAACGATTTCCTCCCAAACCCCTGCTTCTCACAGGAAAAGGTTCATACTGCTTCAGGTCACAAGTGTTTTTTACACACATCTAGTCGGAGCTGTGGAAAGATTTCACTGAAAGAGCTCACAAAAGATAAAGAATAAGCAAAAAAATATATTTCAGTGGATGCTAAAAGTACACCGTAGGTTAATAAATTTCAGATAAAAATAAAACTTTTTAGGAGAACAGCTGTGGTGAGAGTACAGTTAAGGTGACTAAGTCATTTTTATATGATGCCGACTACATTTCTCACCAACTCAAGCCTTTATCCCAGTACTAATTTTCATTTTTATGATTAGGTAAATTCATTCCTCCCCTAATATTTAATCTAGATCTGAAATTGTTATTTTTAAATTTTAATAAAATGTCTGAAATCAAGAAAATATTTGAGAAAATCTGTTAGTTATTTGACTACAAACGGTGTCACAACCATGACAAAGGCCATTCTTGTCTGCCTCAGATGCTGCAAATATGGGGTGGTCAGACCCCCAGTCACATCAGTCCAAGCTGAGAATCAAAACTGTTGACTGACTCAAGTGTTCTGGAAGTTTATGTTGCCCCTATGTACATGCACAGTATGTTTAGCAAGAGAATCCTCTTGACTTGTTTGGGATATTAGGTGTTTAATGGCACAGAATTTTAGCAAAGGCGACGAGCTCAACTATTTTAAAAGCCTCTAGAAGAGCTCCATGGTCCTTCACTGGGAAACAAGCACTCCGCATCTTCAGTCTGATACATATTCCATTTCTAACTCCAGAACTGAAAATGAGTTAAGGTTGTCACTGTGCCCACCTGAACAGCACGACACAATCGGGTGAAAATATAGACGTTAAGAGAGGGGATGTTTTGGTCTTTTAGTGACTGACTAAAAGGAACAATCTGCTATTGATGCAGCCAAAGGAAACGGAGGGAGAAACACAGTGGGTACACTCTGGTTTTGCCTGTTTTCACCATCTCAGACCTTAAGAGTAGGTTCCTTCTTAACATGCAATCACTCTGGGCTGAGAACGTTTTTGGAGGGTGAGAGGAAAGGAGAACGGCATAATTAAGCAGAAGTGATGAAGTATTCTACTTGTTCTTTCTCTTCTGCTGTATGACTGAGTGCTTACAGATGCGCAGGCATTTGTTTGGAACCAAAATTTTGCTGTCACTGGCCATTTTTCCCAGTTTCTGTATCACAATTCTGTACTTTGTCAACTTAAATTCTCACCTAGAAACAATCGAAGGCAGTTCTCAAAGGAATCCTGACGAAAAGGTTTTGCCCCACCACCCAGTCTTTCTCCATCTACTTATTTCGCTAGGAAAAGTACAAAAAAACCCCCACACCAACCAACCAAAGCAAACCCCCACACAAATAAAAAAGAACCACCAGAAACGAAAGCGTTGGCTTTACCTGGAGCCACAGTTTGTCGTGCTGTGACCACTTCCCCCCAGCAATGCACTGGAACGTCGCGTTCTGCCCCACATTAACCTCCACGTTCTGAAGTCGTAGGAAATGAGGTGCTTTTCCTAACGAGAGACACAAAGGATTGCGAGGGTAGAGCAAGGCAGTAACCGGCTGTGTTACACCAACACAGAGACCGACACTCAGCAAAGCACCAGGGCCCATCCTGCAACATTCAGCATCTTTCAGTATTTAAGGATTCAGGGCAGAGCGAGGGGGGTGCTGGAGCTGACAGAGGATGCCCTACAGGATCATACAGAGCTCTGGCACCTCTAAAAACACACTTACATCAGATCACAGCACAAATTCATGGTCATCAACACAATTTCTTACAGTTTGCTATAATGAGTGCTTGAATAATTTCTTTTCCTTACAAAACTGTGCTTCTAAAAAGGTCAAAAAAAAAAATAATCAAATGCTTCTGAGCTTATCAAGCATAACTGACCCAAACCAAGTTTCCATAAGGGTCTTTTTTTCCCCCCCTTTTTACTTTATTGACAATCAAATATATCCTAGGGCTTTAAAATAATGTGTCATTAATATCAAATCACTGATTTAAAATTAATTATTCATATAAATGACATCATTGTATCACTGTATCAGTTTAAGATCACTGATATCAGTGTTTTGCTGATACTAAATTCAGTGTTAATTCAATACTAAACCACTGATATTCAAGTGCAGACACCACATTTGCTCACAAAGGAAATAGATCAGAGGATTATTTTTGACTAAACACCAGACTCATTTACCTCTGTAAGTTAACCTACCAGAGAACAAGATTACAGTAGTGAATCTGACACTTTTAAATGAACTTGCTGGTTTCAAAGGAAGGTTTGTGCACCATTTGAAAACTTTCAGTAGGACACACCGACCAGCTTTGTGAGACTCTAAAGGTCAGAGTCTTTCAACTTCGTCTTTGCATTTTCTTAGTTCTCAGACACCAGTGAAAAACATCATTTCAGCGGACACACCAACCCCTCTTTTTCTATTGGAATTAAATAGCTTCAAAAGGCCATGGGCATCTGGGTGTGGACATGCATGAAGTTTGATGTACAGGGGTTTGTGTACTATAGACGCAGGAACAAATTGCCTACACACTATGCCAAATGGTTTGATTTAGTTTCTGTATCCCGTCCACCACATGCTCAGTTTGCTGACAGCTCCTGAAATCTAGCGATTCTACACCATCCTGCTTTCTGGAGATCAGTAGGGTCCATCCAAGTTTAGAATCACAGAATTGCCTGGGTCAGAAGGGACCTTTAAGATCATCTAGTCCAACCAGCAACCTAACACTGCCAAAAACCATCTGGAAAACTACCTCTGGAGGAGAGTGAGAATGTACTACGTGATATTTGCAGGCTAATCCTAGGAAGGTAGGTATCCAGGGTAGATTCAGGCTGGAGATTAGGAAAATTTTTTTCACTGAAAGGGTTCTCAGGCATTGGAATGGGCTGCCCAGGGAGGGGGTGGAGGCCCCATCCCTGGAGGTGTTCAAAAGACGGGTTGATGTAGTGCTGGGAGGGATGGTTTAGTGATGATGCTCCTTGTTTGTTGTGTGGGTGTCTATTTTTGTCAGTTAGGTTGACGGTTGGACAAGATGATCTTTAAGGTCCCTTCCAACCTAGAAGATTCTGTGATTCTGTGAATTTCTGCCTGCAGGCTGAGGTGGGCAGAGCCCACGCAGCCCGGGTGGGCACAGCCACACCAACCCCGAACCCCCAACTCCTGGTGCTGGGGTCTGCCCAACGTCCAGGGCACGGGGCTGTGCCACGACTGCAATTGCTCAGGCACACCCACTCAAGGAGCTTTCAGCTTAATGAAAATTGAGACCCCACTGCGTTCCCTCACAGGAGAAATAATAGAAATCAGCATTTTTGCTGATACTCAGGTTTCTCTGCTGTACTGTCCTCGATGAAGGTAAAGCAGAAACAAAAAAAAACCCCACCAATAATTTCAGTAACCTCCAGGGTCATCAGGAGCTTCACGGTCCGTGTGTTTTGAGTTATAACAATTGTAAAACCAGTATGAGGGACAAAGCCTGTACAAGTCAACGGAATATGCTCTGGTGACATTTACCCTGGTGGCTGTCATTGCTGAACAACAGAAGCAGCAGTGGGAATCAGACAGGAGAAGCATTGACAAAGCCTGCAGAGAACCTGCACCTTGCAATGAGCTCTGTTCCGCAGGATACAAACTGATTCAAAATGGAACAGGGAACTGCTTGAATCATTTTGGCTTTGAGTCACCAAGAACGCACTTAATTTTGAGGAGGGACCTACATAAACTCGGAGAAATGGATTTAAAATCAGTTTAAATAGGGGTGTAACACAGCTTCCTGTCTCTCTTTTTTTTTTTTTTTTAATTACAATATTTTCTTGTCTAGGCTTCACCCCAGGGTTGTTCAGCAGCCTCTTTCCTAGTAAAGGGATGAGCCATCACCCAAGGAGCTGTGGAATGTACGCAGACCATTTCGGGGATTTGTTTGGATGCTGCCAGTTATCAGCAACATCTGGTTAATACAGATTGTAAGTATTCCTTAATGAAGTAAAAGCACCCAAAGGCCTGAGCAATGAGCACATGGTAAATACAAATATAATTCAGTTAAACAGCAATTAACCATACTGCAGTTATCAGAAATGTCCTGTAAACTTGAGCAGAACCATGTCTGTCACACTCAATGGCAGCTATTCTTTGAAATTCTGTATTGAAAGAAAATTGCAAGAAAACCAGTTTATTTTATTCCATGAATAAAATCCTTTTTTTTTTTTTTTTCCTGTGAGCAGCTGTCACTTACTGAAACTATGAACTACTGAGAGAGGCTGGTATAAAAAACTCTGTAGCAGAAACCGTATACCACATACACAGTATAGACACACTAAAGACCTCAAGACAAACTGTAAATGCACAGAGAAACCAGACAAGTTCAGACTCAAAGGCTGAAGCTCAAGGCTTCTTTAACAGAAAAAAAAAAAAAAGAATTAAAAAACCCTAAGCTTATTATTATGGCTGCGACAGAAGAAACATGGCACTAATATTTTTGAACAACATAATGAACCTGCATCAGTTTCCACTCCTGTGCAAATGTATTGTCTGAATGAGATTTATTTTTTATACCTTTGTGGAAGAGCTGAGTGAGTTTAACATTTGTTAAGAGACACCAACCTTTGGGAACTGTCCTTTACCAAGGAAATACTGTGTGTTTCTTCCTAAGATAATCACACAGGATATGATCAGAAGCTTTTTAGACTGCTTTCTACAGCAGTATGATTCAGAAATAATAAAACTATTAGTTTTATGTTCTCATAACAAGAGAGGGAGAGACTTCCACAGACGCCCTGGCCCTACCTACAGACTGAGAGCAGTTTCACCTTTTGCGGAGCTTAGGTAATTACACAGGGCTAATTGTCTTTAGGGAGACAAGACAACATTTTAGTGCGACCAAATAGGGTAAACCACTCCTTTAGACAGCAAAGCCTGGTATAAAACACATTGATACAGTTAGAAAAACAAAGAGCACTTACTGCATGGATGGGCAAGAACTCTGACTTCATCCACAGCTATGTACCCAGGATGTCCTTTCAAAGAGACAGACTCAAATATCACCTGAAATACAAAGTAAGAAAAAGTTTTCTTAAAAAGAACAGCTACGCTTGTCCTTTGGCCAGTCCCCATATTCAGCTGTTATTCCAATGTCCAAGTCATTCAAGGCATTTCATCATTAATACTGAAGGGCCACCACCAATGCAACGTAGTAGGTACGTGCCCACCAAAGATGGAACATCTCATTGATAGGGAAAACAAAATGCCAGAGCAAGATTCATTAGGAATAGAGACAACTATGTGCTTCTTTCATTTTGAAAAGCAGAAAACCCACACCTGTATTCACTTTAAGCACCAGTCCAAGAACATTAACTGGATAATCACTTGGCATCTCGTTCTTAGTACGCCTCAAAAAGTTGGAGAATGCTGTGCATGAGATAAAATTGTCTTATTGAATCAATAACCCTGGCAAGGATTCTTTTGGAGAAAACCTTGATTTGGCATGTATGCCATCACAGTATTAGAAAGCAAATTACGGGCAATGGATCATCCTGGATTCTAGTTAGTGGACTGTAGTAAGATTCTCCCAGATATAATAAAGTTGCTTCTGCCTTTCCTTGACTAACATGGTCTGAGAATGAATATTTTTAAAAATCACATCATTAACGTGTACATTAATGGTCTTCTATTTTATTTATTATCTCTGGACAATGAAAGTATTCCATTGATTTGTGTCTGAACAGACAGATATTTAGTTACAGATGAACAAAAATGTTATTCTTCCCTATAGCTTTGTGATTTCACCTGGAAAACTGCCCTGATCTGGAGTATCCTGTTACTAAAAATACAGTTAGTGATTCAGTTCCCAAAGATATGAAGGGCTACGCTTTACCGTTAAAAAAATAAATAAATAAAATGGAGGGGTAGAGATGTAAAGGATGTTGTCCTCTGCATTTGCAAGGGGTGTCCCCTGTTTCATTCCCTCTTATCAAGGCAACGTTCACACTGTATGAAGGTGCTCATTTTTACAGGAGCGTACAGTCATGTTTTCAAGGACAGAGTTAATTAACATGTTCAGCTGGCACAGTTATTACTGTTAGACCAATATTCCAGCGCAGCTACTTGTTTTATAGGAGAAAGTATTTTAGTGATTTGTGACCTCTAAAATCCATTACTAGAACACAAAGTTAATTACTTAAAGCCGGTTTTCAACACTTATTTCCAGTCTAAATAAAAGCTGATATTCCCCATCTGCCACTGTTGAGCCTCTTCTTCATCTCCTCCATCAGAAGACTTAATACAATAGAAGATTCAACAATCCAAACCCTGATCACTGCTCGCCCAGGCTACAAAAACAGACCAGTGGGTACTTCATAGGGACAGAATCACTGTTAATAATTTTGCTTTGCATTTGGGCTTCCAAAACCTAGTTTCTACTCATGTTTCCATGATCTCCTACAGTCTGTTCCCCCAATTGGAAACACATCCAAATGTGAAGATCTTCTGAAATACATCCGTAAGAAAAAAAGAACACAAAAAAAATAACTGGCAAAGATATAAACTAAAAAAAGCTTAAGTGCTAACAATATGTAGAAATGAAGTTATACTGAGAGGAGGGTGGACTAAAAATAGGCTGTCCAAAGAGCAAGGGGAGGAAGCAAGTCTCTGGAAGATAAAATAATCCCCGACACATCAACAAGTTTTTTGTGTTATGAAGGTTCTTGACAAGCTTTTTAGGGACTGTATAAAATAAGAGTATAATTTAAGTCCTTAGTATGGAAATTACAATTTATTTTAGAAATGAAATGCCATTCATGAAAAAAATTACATATACTGGGAAGGTCACATAAGCAACTACTGAGACTCCCTTCAGAATTCAATTAAGGTGCAACGTTGCAGCTACAAAATCTTACTTCAGTTTCACATTTGCAAGAAGCTATAAACCACAATGAACTAATTCTCAGTGTCCTGCAAGCAGAGAACAACACAAGGAAAAGGCAGGAATCCATGCTTATGGGGCCCAGTTCTGCAAATTTCACACTGAGTATCTCTCATGTCCTTTTAACTTCAGTCAGAAATGTAGTATAACGGTTGAAACAAGGGCATTTAACAATGCTTTACATTTAGGCAACTTCTCAGAAAATGTAGATGACAAAACACAAAGTTTCACTCTTAACGAACATTCTTAAACGCTCCTGAGGACTGCAAATACCAAGTCATTTCATGTTTCCTTTCCAATAAACAATCCTACCTCTCTCTGCTGCTATATCCCAGCAATGCCTGTGTTAGCAAGGCGGCCTGGCTCATCTGCTGTGGTACAACAGTTTTCTTCAGGCAGGGATCAATACCCTTCCTTGCTATACATCAGACAACCTCTCCCTGGCAGACTCTAGTGCTGCCCTCGTGCATTCTGGGACCCAGTTCATCCTTATGGCAAGCAGTAATTCAAGATTACATGTATTACCTTTCTCCAAGAACTATTACAGCTTTTTCTCGCTCCACTAAAAACATTTGCAGGCTGGGGATCCAAATACGAGTATCTCTAGGGCAGATATAAATCTCCACCAGCCCTACGTTTATATATTGGCAGATGCTTTTGGATCCAGATGACTCTCATGACCCTTGCACAGAACTGCCAGACCTACAACACGACCTCTGGCAACTGGCTTGGTTACTAGTTTTCCACTAGTCACATCTCCAAAGTTCAAAGTACTTGTCAAAGCCTCAGACCTAGGGCAGAGAGCTTCAGACTCTTGTGCCTGACTGAATTTTCGATGCACACTTCAATTCAAGCCAGTGAGGTTTCTGTGCATCGAGAGAATAATCCGCATTTTGCCTCATGCAGATTGCATTATTTAGGAAAAATGCTATTTTTTTCCTGTGTTACCTGGTGCTTTTGAAATACTGATCATGCTTTCAGGCCTCTCGGGTACAAAGAGTTCTCCAGGCATGCAATTTTGATTTAAAGCTGACAAATAACACTCTGATGGCACATCCTGGATGGTGAGTGTGAAATGAGATGCTCCATAGGCAACAGCAGACCCAGGCTTTTGTCATCTTCCACTTTGGGGCTCCTTTAGCCAGAAGTGTTACTTTAGGCTGCCAAATAACAGTCATTTTCCCTAAGTCCTTCATTGTGTTTTCCTCTTCACTTTTGCAAGCTTAAAGTTGTGGGTTGTTTTTTTTTAAAAACAAAAATTTGATTAAATGTAGAAACTCACAGGATTGCAGACCATCAACAGAAGAGGGATTATAAAATCAGGGACTGATGATGGATCGATCTATTGGATCACCCATAAGAGTGCAATATCTCAAATTTTAAAAGGCACACTTAAGGAATAAGAACACAAACATAAGCTGACAGAAACTTCACCCCTGTTCATCAGAAAGTAAAGAAGAAACCCCTTCCATTTTCGAGGAAGGAACTACTCCTGGGCAGTTACTGCTGCCTTCCAATCTGCTCATTTTTGCACTGCAGGGAAAAATTCTTGTTTGATTTAAAGGATTTTTTGCTCAGGAAAAGCAAACTTGACCTGCAAAAGGACTTGTAAAAGAACTAAGAAAGGCTCAGGAAGTCTACTACCGGTATATCTAAGAGTAGGATCTCTCTTAGTGTGAGATCAGACTGTCTTTTCCAGGTTTTTCAAGCGCTGATTACCTGGGTGAAAGATCATTTCTGTTATCTCTGTGGAGCACCTACTCTGAAGCAAATTCTGGTTCATGCCCAGGTTCATGTTAATATGAATGGAGTAGAAGCACTTTAATATGACTTCAGAACACGTGACGAGTTGTGTACAGCCCTTAAACACCACTTTCCACGCATTTGCATCTCTTTATCCCTTCTTCTCACCCTGCGTAGTGTGCTCTGTATATTCTGTTGTATTCTCGTTTTCAGAGATGCAACATTAAAGCATTCTACTTCAGCTCAGATTTTATAGAACTCCTGCCCATTTAATAGAAACAAAAATAATAATAATAAAAAAAATATCAAGCTTTTCTACCTGCTCTTTTCTAGCCACAGACCATTTGCTGCCTTTTCATTATTAGTATCATATGTACATCAGCTTTCCCTGAAAGGTTTAGGGTGCAATTACCTCCCAGGCATTTATTTTTGTCTTTAATATATAAAACAAGACAAAAAAACACCTTCAACGCTTGACAAGAAGCGAGTCCATTGTGTACAATCTTACCTAATTAAAGCTAAAACGACGGCTGCAAAGCTGCCACGTAAAGTTTGAAGTGGACAACTAACAAGTAGCTGTAAAATTAATATAACCTAAAAACAATTTCCCTACTGCATTGCTCAACTTTGTGGTTGTTTTGCAAAAAAATGAATCTCCTAACAGAAGTAGTGAAACTATGTTACAAGCAGTGTTAAAACACACAGAAGCGGAGGATGTGGTGAAGAGTATACTCATGTTGATAACGTGGTACAATATTTATTAGTAGCTTATGCACTTACACCCTTCATATGGCCACAGGAAAAGTCCAGATGCAGAACTGAGTGAACAGATGTTCCTTCCTATGGAACCAACCAGGGGCCAAAAATAGTTTAGGCAAATTTATGCAGAGGTACTGTTACACATGGAGAGACTCGGTTGTATTTACGTTTACATAGTGCTATAGAAAGTGCCTATACAAGTTTGTTAAAGTGCCAATTTCATGATCAACGTGTGGGTCTTAACTTGGCAATAATCTGACTCCCAGTAGTCCATCCATCATTCTGGGGCCTGACAACTAATGAAGAGAAAGCGTAAAGCAGAAAGAAATATGTCAAGATGCCTATATAATCCTTTTGTTATAAAATTACTATATAAAAATTCATTCTCCCAGGAAAAAGTCAGGATACCCATTGCTAACAATAGCTTAGCTCACACCTTGCCAAACGATCAATGGAAAAAAGGAGAGAAAAATATGACAAGCTCATACCTGATAAAAATGTGGCCAGAACGTACTGATGGCAAGTTCTGCTTTCACCCATCCTTCTGTAACAACCCCCGAGACGTTCCAGATGGGATTGCCCTGTGGTCCTCCATTCACCTTCACGTAGACGTTGAGAGAGCCAGGGCTGGAGCGGTCCCTGCTGGACAAGTAATAGTGGAAGTCGATGCAATGTGTGTCGTTCTCCTTCAGCGTGGGCAGCAGCAGGTGAGCCTTCTGCCCAGATGCCCTCCCAGAGCTGTTCACCATCATGAAGGAGCCTGGAGAAGAAAACAGAGAAGAAAGAGTGGGTTTTTGCTTGGCTTTTTCAGTAAAAACAGTTCCATTAAAAAAGTCAGTGATTTCCTTAGGAGCCAGAAAACAAAGCATTCATCTGAAGAACTCGAACTAGTTATTTTATGCTAGCTGGGAGGTAACAGAAAGAAAAGATATTGAAATTGCAGGCTATATACACATAAATAGATTCAGGGCCAACTAGAACCACTCTTATTAGATAACTTTTTTTAAAAAAATCAAAATTAGGTAAGGTAATTAGTGACAGAACGAGAGGGAACGGCTTCAAGCTCCAACAGGGGAGGTTTAGATTGAACATTAGGAAAGAATTTTTCACCGAAAGAGTGGTCGGATTATCTTTCTTTTATTATTTTATAACCTTGTGATAAAAGTCACTCTAAACAAGAGCATATTCACACATCAAGCAGCAACGAGGCTCTCCCACTGCAAACAGTCCCCCAAAGGCACATTTCAATACAAAAACTACAACAATGGACCTAATTCTCAGCTGATATTTGCCTATATGGCTCCTACCCACATCATTCCAGTCTGTACCTGTAACCCTGCATCATGGCACTATAAACTTTTGAAGGTAATGTGCTAAGAAAACCCAGATTTTCAGAGCCCAAAAGCATCAGGCTTGTTAGCATAACGGCAACATCTGGACTGGACATAACGCACCAAGGACAATTATTCTTCTAGGAGGGAAGGACAGGCTGAATTTAGGGAGGGAAACACATAAGCAATTTATGAGTTTGTTAACCTGGAAGCTTGCATCATATTAACCATGGCACTTGATGTTGAACTCACATTTGGATTCATCAAGCAGTTATTTTACAGCACATTGTGTCTCGACTCATCTCTTCACAGATGCATCAAGGTGACAAATGTCAGCAATAAGGAAAAACATTATGAGAGTTATTTGATTCGATTCTGTTTAAAGGATCTCCTTTATGTGTGTACAGACACTCACACTCGGAAAAAGCTGAAGAAAATACCAAGACTGCAGGGGGAAATCTGTTTGTCAGCAGCCAGGCATGATAATTTTTAATCAAATGCAGCCCTCTTGACACCCCAGGTTGTGCTGCTGCTGCCAAGGCAGCCTAGAAATGTATTTCTCTGCTGGCCTCTCGCAGTTCACAGAAGATTGAGTTTGAAAAGCCCTGCCTCACTTCTAACCTATTGACTTTCCCTATTCCATGCCATAGCAGTGTGACACTCGGAGGAGCCAGATAAACATTTTGATCAATTCCGTGCAGTGAACAGCCATATATTCTATTTATATCAACAGATATAAATCAGCCACCGACTTTCTCCCACATTTTTTTTCCCCCATGTTTATATGATATATATATATGCATTTTGCAAAGAACTGAAAAGCACGAATGCAGAAGGAAGTCAATCTTTCAAAAAAAACCCACACACTCTAGAGACCCTGGAAAATTCAAGCACAATGCAAGCACAGCTGGGGAAGAGGCTGTACTAAGAAATATGAAAATTTATAAGCAAGATGCTGTCTGGCAATCCCATCTCTCATTTTGATACGCTGAAAATCAAAATGGCCCCAAATCAAGAAATTCCAGATTCACAGTAAGGAATTTGAGAAAGAATTAAGCTGAATCCAAACTTTTTTATGTCTGTAATAATCAAAGTCCCTCAGATGGGATCCTGTCAAATGTGCACTGTTGGTCTAAATCTGCTGCCAGTCAACTACAACATTCCCTTCTTCAGTGAGTACAGCAGATACTATTCTTAGAAACCTTCCCAAATAAACTGCAGTTTTGAGAAACTGAGATTTGGATTCCATTTCTATGACCTAAGATAATTTATTATCAGAAAGCCTAATTGCCAAGAGGCTTGAAGAGGCAGCACAGACTGAGAGTCACAAGGCAGCAGGCTGGGAACCTCACAGCCGCCTTTCCAGGCTAATTATGACACTCATTTCTATGATCTCTGTCAGTACACGTAGCCTGCCTTATCTTCCCCTACAAATACAGCAGGAATAGTTGTAAGAACTACTCTTCTGCTGAGAATCTGGGAGGAAGAGCACTGTAGAGCTGCTGAGTAACAGTGGTACCATAGAGAGGAGCACGGCAGCTGCTGAGGAGCGCGCTGCCTGCAGCCTTTCAATGCCATTTTCAGAAACAGCACAAGAAACAACTAAGACAAGTTCTACGTTTGCCAGATCTCATCCTTGAGGATGACGGTGCAGTCAATTCAAACAGTAAGAAAAAGCAGAGCTGTTGTGCATCCACAAGGGTATTGATCAAGCGCCTGCAGCACTGAGTACAAATCCAGGAAAACTGATTTTTGCACCACCATTGATTGGCTTATAGGGCACATCATTTTCACTTCTGGGTATCTTTCTCAATTTTTAATTTTATTTTTTTTTTACTTTAAAGTTTGGATAATACATGGATTCCTACCCTAAAGAACTGCTCTGAAGCTGTACTTTGTCTAACACAATATGCTCTTGAACTGCACTGGGGTAAGTGTTTCAATGATAGAAAAAGTTAGGGAGTATTTCACTTCTACAGATTCATGTATAAAAATAACAACTTTCCTCTGAGAGAAAAAACATCAGCTTTTATAAAAGTTCAAGGCAATAATTACAATTTTATTTTTTTGCCACCCACAAAAAAATGAATCACAAGCTATTTGAGGTATGACAATGGCCTTTTGTGCAACTGCTGACAATTCTAGAGAGAGCATGGAGCCTGAATCTCGCGACTGACAACACAAGCAAGTAAAACAGCCATCTACCAAAAAGTACTTAGCAAAATAATTACTCTTAGTTGCTAGAAGAATAGCCCTACAAACAATTGTCATACGAAAATTATTCACAGCTTCTTATTTATAGCTTATGGTTTGTTTTTAATACAGTATTTCTGGAGATACAGGAGAAAATACTATAAAAATGTAACTGTCTCCAGTAAAGTCTTGATAAGAGGTATGATTTTATATGAGGTGGAAAAGATGAAAAAATTCCACTTTTAGTGCCGTCTCTGTCAGAGAAAAGTACTCACACCTTGTTTAAATCAGTTTGTCCCCTACTAATTACACCACACTCCTTACTTCTGCAGAGGCTCGGTGTGGCAGCTTCCAAGCTACTCCAGCCATAGCGTACCACACTTCAAGCCTGGCCATCATAGGGGCTGTAAATGTATAGTTTCATCAAGACTATAATTGACATCAGATACAAGAATACGCTGATCTACAAAATTCAGTTGTGAATAAATTATACCTATAATTATATTCTTTAAACTGGCCTCCAAATACACTCATCTGTACACATCTTCATTTTTCTTTTCGCAGTGGGAACCCGACTGGGTACCCCATCCCGTCTCCTAGGGCCTTCAAAAGGTTGCTCCACATGCTCCAGGATCAACAGCCGAGATCCACTCTCCTATTATAATGTCCATGCCCAGGGAAGCTTGTCTGGGCAGGATACATCACTCCAAGGTAGGTGAGAGATCATGAAAATTGCTCCAACCAGAAAAAAGAAAATTAAATTCAAAAGCGCCTTTTAAGGACAAGTGTGGTTTTCCTTCCTATCCTTAATAAAAATTGACATCTTGTGATTCAGAGTCTGACAGCCTTCCTTAGACCCAACACAGAATTGAAGCTGAAGGGACTTATTCTCAATTTATAGGCCTATATGTGCAAATAAAAGAGATACAATCTGGTCTGGCACCAACAAACCACTTGTCACATTTTCCACTCATATACAGAACTAGGGAATGAATTAACATGTCACAAATGGAAATTATTGATCAAGGGATGACTGAAAGCCACCTAAATGTCTCCAGGCAAAAAATCTGAATAAAACAAAAGGTGTCTTGGAGAAACTCTTATTTACACCATCTCATATTCAATTTTGAAAAATAATAACAGGAGGAAAAAAAATAATCCTTTAGCCTCGTTGTTTTGTTTACCTCCATCCAGAAAGTTCAAATGCCATAAAGTCAACGCTGATCTGAAAAAATGAGTTTGGGGAAAAAAATGACCTATGCTGTGGAAAAGTTCTTTTTTGTATTTATTGGACACAGAAGTATACTCTCATTAAAGAGGATTGAATATCAGGTCAACTAAATTTAGTGCTCTTGCATCAACAGGTTAGATTAATTAAATCTTGCTGGTTTTGTCCTGAATAACCAAAAATGAATGTGCTCTGTTCGGATCAGTCAGCAGCAAGGAGGATGGGAAGACGGTAAATAAATTCATTTTTTAAAATCCGTTCAAACGACAGGAACATAAAACGGCACTCTCGCATAGTTATTAAACATACCACTGAAAATTGGGGAATTAAACCATGAAGTGCTCTCTAGCTGGCCATAAATTTCAATTTTTCCCCTGCTTGGTGCATAATGATGCCTTGATAAGCGTCCTATTATTGATGCATCTGCAACATATATCCTCTTTTTGGAGCTGAAACGCTACTCTGTAGCAGATGGTGGCTATTGTGTTTACACATCAGCACTTTATGATTGCATTTTCTCACGTCTGCAGTAAAAAGAAAGCCGTAATTGAGTTTTTAATGGCTTTGCACATTGTTCATTAAGATTACATGAGTGTGTTCTGACAAATGACAGCTGAAGAAATGAGCCACTGAGAACCCCTCGTGATCACCAGACAGACCTCAGTTGATGCTGTTTCACTGTTGGCTTTGAAGAACCGTGCTGTTTGAAAGTGAAATTATAGCAACCATTAAAGACTGAATGTAAACTTGAAAAGCAAGCTGTCAAAACGCTCAACTGCAAAGCCAGACTTCTCAAACCTTGAAAACCAGAATCAGGTACAGAATGTTTTCTCTAAGGAGCAAACTGCTTCCCAAAATAATGGTTTCTCCAGCAGCTCCATCAGGTGCACGAGCATGTTTTAGACACAGATTTGCTTATTTCCAAAGAACAACTAAGGAAGTAACCCTGACATCTGTCTTTGTGAACGCAGAACAAAGCAACATGGAATAACATTGGTTGAAAGGGGG